AGTATTAATAGTGTCAATACTGTGTCTCTTTTAGCCCACTAACGTGACACTGTCCAGGCTAAAGCCCATAGTTTAAATCGCAATCATGTTTAAGAAAGTTGGGATTTTGATAGAAATTATCAGTTATCTTTTTCTATTGTGGCCTTGTAAAACATTTAACCCCTGCTGGAGTGTTGTGTTCTTCTCTGAGGCTGTGTCAAAGTTGAAATATTTAGCATACCTGAAGCACCCTAGCTTTGCCGTGGCTTACTAAATCACAAATCCTAATGCTCTCCTTTTGAACAGTTAAACCAGCCTCGATCTGTCAGACTAAATAAATCAGATGCACTTCCCACTCTTGACCTTCTGGAGTTCATGTTTGGGGTAAGAACGGCTCAAGGCTTCACTCAGACAGACCACCTTACTCAATAACTTAGAGTTTTGTTGTTAATGTTTGTGTTTCTGTTATTACCTACTGCACACAACAAAGAGCATTAACGCAAAAGGAGAAATTCAATTTGTCAACTGGACAAAAGTTTATTCGGTCAAATACGGTTCGCAGGTCATGCAAGCTGCTTCTTCATTTCTGGTCAAAAGTAAAGTAGTGAAAAAGTAGTGAAAAGTAGTGAAGAGTGCAGTGAGCGTTACATTGGAGAAACATAACAGCCACTTCATAAGAGGATGTACCAACACAGATGAGAAAGCAGTAGTGGACCACAGTCTGCTGTACATCTCCACTGAAAAAGTCTCGGACCACTCCTTTGAGGACAGTGAAGTACAGTTTTTAGCCAGAGAAAGAATTGGTTTGAGAGGAGAGTTAAACAAGCTATTTTTGTTAGGAAAGATAATGGAGGACTCAGGCACCATCTATCTCCTATTTATAACTCCATTCTCAAACCTAAATCAAAACAAACAAAGAAAACAATAGGGACAGCCAGGTCAGGTCCAGAGGTGTGAAAGCTCCATTATGGACCTGAATGATTATGCTAATAAAACCCCACACTCAGTGCAGTTCAATAGGCTGAGCTAACAAATAGGAACTGTAAACAAGTAGATATGTTACTTTCAGAGTAGTTTCAGTGTAGTTAGCGCCTCCCTTCAGGCAGATGTAAGGAAGTGTCCACCTGCATTTTGACCAGAACTGAAGAAGCAGCTTTGATGAGCTGCGAAACGTATTTGACCGATTAAACTTTTGTCTAGTTGACAAATTGAATTTCTCCATTTGCCATGGATTCTACCTGGACGACTGAGGGATTTTACACAAAGAACATTAATATTATACCCACCACCACCAACACTCACACACCTCATTCATACTTGGCAATGTGGGCGAAGTATGACAATGACAGCTTCCACCAGAGCCACTATAGCCCCACTGTTGCTCCTGGTATTGCCAGTGGTCTCTCTAATATTAACCAACCCCGACCCTGCTTAACTTCTACAAGCAGGTATCAATGATCGCTCTGTAGCACTTTACAGTATTGACCCATTTGAGCTACTTAAAGGGACAGTCCAGAATTGTGGACATGGGACTTCATTTCCTAGTGTTGGAGATGTGTGGAGACACTTTTTAAAATATTCCATCCAGTTTTTGTATTTGCAGAGGTTGCTGGTGCTAGGCTAGGCATGTTAATGGTCATAGTTAGTCTGCCACTAAAAACAGTCTTCTTTCTTACCCACTCCTCAAAGCACCTGAAGCAAATCTACTATTACACCAGACTATCGATGTAAATGTCTGTGTTGATAGAATAATTTTAGAAGTAAAGTCAACCTTGCATTTGAAGGATTTATGTGTGAGCAGCAGCAGCGAGTTGTACTTCCTAATAGAAAGCTTGGCAGAGGTGGACTTATATATGAGAGAATAGTCTCTCAACATGCGACGATTCATGCGATGCAAGGTTAGTTTTATACATTATTCTCTCAACACAGACATTTAAATCGACAGTCTGGTGTAATAATAGATCTGCCTTAGGTGCTTTGTGGAGTGGGTAAGACGTTTTTTAGTGGCAGGCTAACTATGGCCATTGACATGCGCTAGCCTAGCACCAGCGACCTCTGCAAATAGAAGGACTGGATCTAATACTTGCTTACTCCAACACTCTGGCTCACTAGGAAATTAGGTCCTATGTCCAAAATTCTGGACTGTCCCTTTTTCTTCTCATGGATCCCATTCCTTCCTGAACTATGTTAAACTTAAATAGTTTTGCATATGCAGCAGCTTCCCCAGGTGTGTGATGTCTCTAAATGTAGCAGTGGAAGACTTTAACCTTTGAACTCAGGGAAAGTGCATTTCATTTGTCACTGTAAAGCTGACACACACATACAGTCTCTACAGTCAGGAGCACATGAGCAATGAGCACCTGTGGGACTTCTCTTTACCCTCTCTCTGCTATGTCCTGCCAGTGTGATTCATGAGTTTACGCAGCACGATCAGTTCCCTAAAGGCACCACGCTGACCTTTGACCTCTGCAGTGGCAAACAGCAGTTGAGTTTTGGCACAGAAGAGTCATATAAGTATAGTCACCTACTTCCATCACTCCTCACTTTCTCATCAGCCTTTTCGCTTCACCTGTACAAGATCTGAAAATATTTTTCAGATCTTGTTTAAAGGTCCTATTACGCAAAACTGACTCAAGTGAGCTTTAAACGGAGTTATAATGCTGTTACCTCATCAAAAATATACCTGGAGTTGTATTTTGAGTAATCTCAGGTGATTAGGCTGTCTGCATTCCCAAAGCTCAAACTGTTTTGTTTCACCTTTTGATGTCATTGTCAAGTGGTACTTTAAGGTTAACTGCTGTTTTTAGACTTAACTGAAATGCTTTACTCTTCAGTACTCCAGAAAAATATATTTATTTTAACCTTTGTTTAGTTGAACTTGTTAATAGAAAGTTTCTAATATCTGTTGGTGCACTGAGAAGGGGCGCAGTTTCAATTAGGCTAAAACAATAGCTGCAGCTTCAAAGTCAGGCAAATCCAAGGCTGAAATGATCATTACCACTGTTACCACTTATTTAATTGTTATAACATTGTTCCCTCGTCAAAGCCATGCCTTGAGGTTTCAGATGTCATCCATGGGTGTCTGAATATTTTTGTACTCTCTCCAGGGTCTTATTCAACCCCTTCTTATGGATGGCTATAAGATTCATGAATAATGAGGCCTGTTACACAAAGGGAGGCTGGCACAGCCGGCACACAGCCTGGCCTTTGAGTTGTGGCCATACCAGCTTGTCAAAGCCTGATCTCGTCATATCTCAGAAGCCAAACAGGGCTGGGCCTGGTTAGTACTTGGATGGGAGACCCCTGGGAAAATCAGGTAACACAGTGGGGCACCAATCGCAAAAAAAAAAAGTTGTTGTGTCCTTAGGCAAGGCATTTCACCTACATTGCCTAGTATGAAAGTGGAGTGTGTGTGAGTGATGGTGGGAGGGGCTGATGGTGGAGATTGGCAGCTGCACTTCCGTCAGTCTGCCCCAGGGCAGTTGTGGCTACAATAATAGTTTACCACCACCGGGTATGGAGTGAATGAATAATAATCTGTAAAGCGTCTTTGAGTGTCCAGAAAAGCGCAACATGAAACGCATGCATCATTATTATTATTTGGCAGACGGCGCCCTCTTGTGTCCAAAACACACCATAGCCATGGCTGTGCTTGTAATTCATTTTTCCAGCTTTGCAGAAGTGTATTTTTCAGTATTGGATTGTAGCAGGACAATTTTGAATTAGGATAGCAGGTCAAAAAAGTCAAGACAAAAAAGAAGGACTTGGCTTACTTGTATCCTAATTTTCAGGTGATCTAAGTAGTGTGAACTCTGTTTACTGAGTATGGCCATGTCACTGCAATGTCTTGTGTGTCCTCTTATATGAAATGTCAATTTATCAGTCACCATTTGGGTTTTAAAATACAAACAAAAGTATGTCTAGGTAGACAGGTTTAGACTACTAACTAAAACAATTATCATCATGGTCGTCATTATATTATTATAATTACTCTAAAAAAAATTTTATCAAGGGCCAGAATGTGTCGAAATTGCACAATAGTTATGATTAAAAACATCATTGCCAACACCTTTGATTTGTTCACTGAATGTTTAAACTGTCAGAAAAATGCCTTCTTCAGGTTTCAGAGAACAGACCCATCCTTAAGGTATAATCCACAATCTTGGCTCATATCGTATGAAGAATTCCTTTAGGCAACCTGTTGAAAATGATGCCAAAAAATTTCAATGTTATGTTTTTTTTTTTTTTTTTTTTTTGTGAACCAGCATATATTTAGCTGACCCTCTTTCACATGACACATGAATTATACTGGATCTTTCTTCCAGCATTCAGTAATGAAAAAATACATTCAGCTGACAGTAAATGCATGGCCTGTGTCTTTTCCTTCTCATTTGAGTAAATTGTTGTTGAGTTGGTTGACTTTTAAATTATGCAGCCACATGCTCCACTCACGATTCATAGTAAACATTTGTTTAAGAATGTTGTTATTGCCTATAATGTTACTGCCAATAACTGTCCCACGATTTTTCAAACTCTGACATAGTACAGTGTTGTAATGCGTTTGTGTCTAGTTCAAAAAAAAAAAAAAAGAAGCATAACCAGCAACGTTTAGATATGGACCTAAATTTTCTGTGTTGGCAGCAGAACAACTTGAAATGAAATAGCATGTGTTTTATTTACTCTTTTGACTTGAGCCCCAAAGGAGAGAGAGAGAATGCGATACTTGAATGTGTATAATAACCTTGGTAAAGCTTGAAACTCAATAACTTTGTTTGACAAACTTCCATTCTTGTATTTCACCTTTTCAAATGGCTTTGTGTTTTAGATGTGTCTTTGGTGCTATCTAGTGGCAGGCTTCATGCAAGCTTTTAAACTCAGATTTTTTGGAAAGTTTGTGGGAAATATAGATTTTTTAAAAATCGCTTTGGAACTGGGAAGGTAGGCAGGACTGTTGAGCAACGCATTACTCATTCTTCATGCTAACCTTCAAAGCCTGGAGAATAGCCTTAGGGACACTGTGGTAACTTTTTACAATTGAGTTTATTTTCACAAGAAAAAAATAACACCTCTGTTTTTCCCACATAATAATGACAAGGACATTTTTTAATATTTACATAAAGAATACATAATGTTAGATGTCAAACCAGCATTAGTGTACTTCATAAAAACACTTCACAAAAGGAGCTTTTAAAGTGTTTGTAAAAAAAAAAAAGTCTCGACCAAGATACATGCTCCATGAATTCAAGTGCCTTTAATGTATCTTCACAAATGTATAAATTCATGAAGCTGCCACCTTCTTTTCCTTGTAAGTAGCCATCATCTTTTTGATCTCTGCGATGGCCTTTCCTGGGTTGAGTCCCTATGGAGAGTAAAGGGTTATATTATAATGTAGGCAGGCATTTGCTGTTTTAGTTTATGTATACTGGAAAGTGTACAGGTACCTTTGGACATGTTTTGGTGCAGTTCATGATGGTGTGACAGCGGTACAGAGAGAAAGGGTCCTGCAGTTTAGACAGTCGCTCCTCAGTGAACTCATCACGAGAGTCAATCATCCATCGGTAAGCCTATGGAAGCATGCGTGCACTGATCATAGGTTTTTTGTTGGGAACATATCAAATAAATCAACAGCAGTGGTTTTCAAACTTTTCTAATCAAGTATCATCTAAGAAAATATTTAGCCTTTGGAGTACCACTGGATCTAAACTCAGGCTAAACCAAGACTACCCCATTGCTATTGACAATCTTAAATATTTTAGGTGAATATCTGGATCAAATTAAAATGAAATTCAGCTAACATTAGAACGGAAGAAGAGTTTGAGTACCACCGGAGCAATTTCACATATCACAAGTAGTACAGATTAGTGATGGGCCAAAAGAGTCGACATGTCGACATATGTGTTGAGCTGTGCGGCTGTGTGTATCACTTTAAGAAAAGTCACGTGACCAATGCATGTACTCTATCATTTGGTGTGGCTCGCGTAGAACAAAGTGCGCGAGGATCAAATCTGTCGCAGCGTCTCGGTTCATCACCACAGAACCACAGAGAAACAGAAGATAGGTCTGTTCAGGGTGGGCTTATTTTAATCAGTCCCAACTGGATCTCACTACAGATTTACTGAAACTATATTATTTTACTATTGTTTTATTATTTCACAACATCACCTTGTCATGTATCACGTATTTGCTGGACTTTATTCTACAATAGGCTGATTTGCTGATGAGGCTGACTTTACCTTCCTGATCAGTTCTTTCATTTGTTGGATATCAGACCGCATCTATGACAAATGAGTGTTTGCGTTTCTAAATGAATGAGCAGTTCATTTTATAAACCACCAGATGAAGCTATAGAAAGCACCAACACAGTGTTGGAAATCTGTTAACACACACTTTGACGCCTCATCTACCCATTACTAGACATATTGACACTTGACACTTTGAGAACCACTGATCTAAACTAATAGGTATTAAAGCATTTATAAACTCCCAAATATTTAAAGCATTTATTTAGTATTAAAACTCATTATTTAGTGTCATCTGGCTTGGAAATAAATAGCAGAGCACAACTAGATGTTTGTGTAATTCCTCAGTCGTCCAGGTAGAATTCATAGTTACAGAGAAATTCAATACTGTCAACTGGACAAGGTTTTTGATCAAATACGTTTCGCAGCTCATCCAAGCTGCTTCTTCAGTTCCAGATTTTTGTCCAGTTGACAGAATTGAATTTCTTCTTTGCTAGAACACAACTTGGCCTGTCACGATAATTACTATATCGACTTATCATTCAATACATGACAGATGGAATAATAATTTATGATGGCTTATATTTATTGTAGGTACTGTTTCTTACTACTACTGGGGAAGATATTTTTCTGTACTACAATAAGACTTGAGCTGCGATAAGTCGAATATATAAATTCTATGATTCATTACAGATACTAACTACTAATGTATTTCATTCTGCTTTTTTTTTATATACATTCAGAATTGTTTTTGGAGGATATTTCTACTTTAGGGTTATTGTGGGAGTTGTATAAATGTGTTTTGTCAGTATTATCGTTTATCATCTTTATTTTCAGCAATATATCGTACTTCAAAATGTGTTATCGTGACCTAAGAACCACTTGTTTGAAGAGAAAGAATGTCTGTACCTGCATCAGGACGGCAGGGCCCAAGTACTTGTCTCCATTCCACCAGTAACTGGGACAGCTGGTGCTGCAGCAGGCACACAGGATACACTCATACAGACCATCCTGATATTCACAACATACAAAAAACAATTATTTTACTTATTGCAAATGGGTCAATAATATGTGTTTATTCAGTGTCATAATTCCGGAAAATATATTTAGTTAGAACAACACAAATTATAATATAAGGTGTCACTGTACCAGTTTTTGTCTGTCCTCCACTGACTGGTAATACTGATTCTTCCCCTCTTTACTCTCATCCTTTTTTTTTAAGTATGGTTCTATGGACTTGTATTGTGCATAAAAGTTGCTCATGTCCTGTTGGAAAGATTCATGGGGGAAACTAAAAGTTTATAATCTGTGACATGGAAATACATGAAAAATGAAATGTATTTTACTCACCGGAACCAGGTCCTTCACCACATACATGTGAGGCAGAGGATATATCTTAGAGGGTTTGCTTGTGTTAGTGTCGATTTTGTTGAGACAGGCCAGTGTGTTGCCTCCATTAATGTTCATTGCGCAGGAGCCACAGATTCCTGAAAACATTCAAAAAGTCTCACAATGAAGTACAGACATAGTAGGAGCAGAATTTATATCAGCTTGAATTTGAGGACAATACCTTCTCTGCAAGAGCGTCTAAATGTGAGAGTAGGGTCTATTTCATTCTTGATTTTAATAAGGGCGTCTAAAACCATTGGGCCACAACTACCAATAAGTACAAAAGGATCATATGTTAGATTATATCAAAGTGGATAATTCTTCAGTATTCATACAGATGATCTTACGTGTCTAGGTTGATCTCATAGGTCTGCATTCGAGGTTTGTCTCCGGGAGTGTCGGGATCCCAGCGGTAAATCTGGAACTTCTTTATCCGCGGTTCAGCAGCTGGAGCTACTGCTGTCTGAGCGCATCGCACCAGCTGGAGCAAGACAAATACAAAGATACAAACACTTATTGTAATAGTAAGACACTTATATGTCATTATGATGACATAATGCCTTTCTGATACTATTTGAGAACTTATTAATTATAATTATATAATAATTAATAATATAATTAATATATAATATATTATACATTGGAAAAAGGATATTTATCAAATGACAAAATATTAACTGATATATCCAAGCAGCACGTATCAATACAGACTAGAAAACAACAACAACAACAACAAAAATCAGTGTTACCTCTTCAAACTTACTAAACGTGTTGACAGTTGAGAGCAGGTGGTCTAACTCCATCTAGTGGTAATCTTTAGTACTACAGTGGAACATGTTACATCACTTTACAGTGTAAGTTACCTAACTGACTTTTACTGACTTTAAATTACAAAACAATCCTATTTAACTTATTTAACGACTTGGACATCTAGCGTGCCTATCAAGTAAATAAATGACCAGTTATCTGATAAATGTAGGGTAAAGTAGATTTACAGCCATAGACTGTGATTACAACAAAGACGCTGCGTGGCTTTGAGCAACAAACTTTGTGGAAAGTAAATCAGAAGACAGAAGGCTGAGGAACATGCATTGTGTCTGAATCTTAAACTTAAGTCAAATATAACATTCTTGCCCGCGCCACTGTTCATAACGTAAATATGACAATGAACTCACCATAATGGCTCCAGAGTTACGTAAAGCCAAGACATTCTTGCTCAAAGCGAAACAAGCCGCAGACATGATATCCTTCGGCAGAAGTTGGTGTAAATAATAAAGAACCGTTTAGTTCCGTTATGTATATGACACTTCACAGTCCCACACCTCAGCTCCGCCTCAGTCCCATGTATAGAGTGTATATGGTCTAGTAGTATGAAAGAAAATGAAAGTACGCCCTCTGCACGCACGTGACTCTGGAGCGTCAAGTGCGTCATGATGTGTTTGCTGTTTCTACGTAAAACGGACATTCCTGAATAAATGTGCAAAACGCCCGAATTAAATCCTTTTTCACGAGTGATCTGAATATATTTGAAAATAAGTATATCACAAAAAAAGAACAAAAAAAAAGAAAAAAAACAAAACAAAAAATAACACAGACATCTTAAAATAAACTAGAACAATATTCAGTTAAATCAAACATTCCTATTGCATTTTAATGCAGCACGTGTCAAAAGCAGTTTCACAACTCTCAGTGGTGTCAGTTTTGTAAGCAAAGCAGGGGTCAAATGCATATTTTTTTTTCTCTAACATATGCAACATTCATATCGTGTCCTTGAAAAACTAAACAAAAGACACTTGGGGCAAGGACCTGAATGTCACAAAACACCATTAGGCTACAGTAAGGCAAGAATAGGAATATAAAAAAATAAACAAAAACAAAAGAATTGGCATATATAACAGGAAAATGTCTATTATAGCCACTATTATGTAACTGGTTGTTATAATTTTTTAAATAAAATCATTAGTGAAGCATGCTATATAAATGAACTACAGTAGAGGGCAGTCTTTCCAAACCCATGAAAATTGTTCTGATACATGTTCGGTGTTGGGAAGAATACTTTGAAAATGTCTTTAGTTACAGAATACTGAATACCTTGGAGTAAAATGTATTTTGTAATGTATTCCATTACATGGGCCAAGTAGACTACCGTATTCTGAATACATAAAATACAATTACACCTAGATGCATTTAAATTGTAATGTAAAGGGGGATTAATAACAGTTTTAAATTTGTTTCACTATTTTTAAAGCATTTCCTATCACTAATTGAAGATGGAAAAATCATACATGCACTCACCACAAGTTTCTCGCCAAAATATTTTCTATTTTCCTGACTCATAATGTGTAGTTTGAGGCCTAAATCAAATGCCATAATGTATTCCTTTGGTTCCTGGAAAGTAACTATATTTTGAATACCACCAAATTTTAAAAAGTAATTGTGCCAGAATACAGTTACTCAAAATTAGTTTTTAAAATACTATTCTCTGTACTTCCCAACACTGTACAGATAGCCTGTTTTTCTCCACCAGAAAGATCTAGTGATGAGTGTGCCTGAAAGTGCAAGTTTGTCAAATGAGCTACTTCAAATGTGGATTAATGAGTTATTTATTTATTTATTTTCAAATGTTCTCAAAATGCAAACTCCACTCAAACCTCAAGCCTGGTTGATTTACACTGTGTCAAAGGTCAGTGTGCTCTATATGTCCACCACAACCTTGAGATGTCATAGAGTGCATCCTTCATCAGCAGTTCATGACATGGGGTTGAGCTGACTGTCAGGGTCAAACCTCAGCAGCATACAGCTCCTATGTTGCTGTAGTCATTGGAGCAGGGCGTTCCCAGGTCAAATGTCAACCAGCCCATACATCAAGTCCACCAAGCTTTTTAGTGCATTTCGATGTGGTCACATGGGAGCAGGACGACTTCATTTATGTCCATGGAACACGCTGAATCAGCTCTGAATGTGACAATATGCAGGACAGCGGAGGTTATGACAAATATTAAGATATACTGCAATCTTAAACATGAGAATTATAGGTAAAAAAAAAAAGTTTGTAGAGTCACTAATTAATTAATTAATAGGTAGGCTTATGTTTTGCAGTAGTATATTTTAGTTGCCTGTGTCCTTATCTCTTTGATTATCAAATGAAAGCTTTTGAGAGAGATTCAAGTTTGTCAAGTTTTCGGTGAAATAAATAAATAGAATAAATCAAGGCCAGGTTATCCATATGGGCCAGTGGCACGGTGCTCAGGGGCAGCAACCAGTCACAACCACATGACACAAACTTAAAAAATATTTTTTTTTGTAAATTTGTATGTTATTCACATGAAAATGTCAAATGCCCATAAATAATTTGTTATTAACACAAATTCCATAATAACAGCAACAATAATAATGACAATACTGAACAAATCAAGATTACATCACTCTTCATTCCCCCCACATCTGTCAGTTGAGTCAGTCCTCAAGTCTGCACAAATGTATAATAAAAATAAAAAAACAAAGTGAATATATGATGCGCATTTTGAATAGAGGCATTTGAATATGCCCTACAGTTGGATGCTGTAAGTTATTTTCGGCTTATTTGCTGGGCTGATGTAGTTGGTAAATTACATATGAGAAATGCCCTTGTTTATGTGTACTATTTTTGACAGGAAGACAGGGGTAAGGTGTGCAATCTACTAATAGTAGATTACGTATTAGTGTGAATGTAAACTGTCCCAGTCCCAAAATTAGGCCTGCACAGAGTAAAGTTTTAAGCTGCATTGCTGTGGCTGTTATAGAATCCATCTGTTGCCATGGTAACAGATAGAAATGTACATTTGGAGCTACTTTCTCCCACAGCCCATAGCTACAATAACATTAAAATATTAAGGAACATGTGGTCTGTAAGAATGACTAACACACAACACACTTTGATTGGATTACACATACTTACCAGCTAAAATGATTGTATTGTCCAATTAGACATAACTGCCAGGAGGAGGACGCCTGGTGGAGAGGCACAGACCTGATCGGAGTGCAGATGTACCGATAAAAGCTGCTGAGAAAACTGCCCTTGAATCTGAGAGGTGATGGTCAAGTGACTTCAGGGCCTCCTAATCCTCAGAGTGAGCGGATGCTGTGTGCTGGTGTGTCTCTCAGATGTCTGAAGTCATTAAAGGCAACTCCACCGAGATGTGCAGTGTAAAATAGAACAGTCTCACAGTTGTACCTGAGGGGGGTTTATGGGGTTATACTATAAGTTATTAAGTTTGGTATACAGTATCATCATTGTTGAACTTTTTAAGAAGACATATTATGCTTTTTATCTGGTATTTATTAAATTACTGTATATGCTTAGATCATTATTTTATGTTTTGTTCATAGTAAACTGTTTGTTTAAATGGCTAAATAACAGCTCCATTGACGTGATTGGTCCAGCTCCTTCATTATGGCATTTAGCTGTAACAAGTACATTTTAAATTACTTACTACATGACATTTATGAGCTTTGTGGGTCTGTTTCAATAAAAGTTTAAGATATCTCTATTTTATCTTCATCTTAACTTAAAGCAACTGCTCATCTTGTCTGGTGAAGGATTTAACACCCACTTGTCTCCATGGAGATGTTATTGCTTTGCCTGGAATGTTCCCTGGTATGACATTAAACATATCCATCTAGCAGGTGACTCTCCACAGATCTGAATTGTAATGTAGAGTAGTGCCTTATCCTGCTTGTCTCCCTCCTGATAGATAGGTTTAATCTATACTAGATAAAGCAATAACATTTCCATGAAGACAAGCAGAAATATTCACTAGAAATGTTATGCAGTGCACCTTTAATGCCTCCCTAAACTCATATATTATTATACCCAAAATCTCATAACATGTAGATAGTCTAAGTATTAGAAGTATTTCCTTTTACTTTTACTAATTCTCACCAATAGTAAAATGAAGTACATAAGGTAGTAACATTTCACTGTCTGGCTTTAAATCTTCTCTTTGTTGTTTGCAGATGAAGCTGTTTTCCTCCAGGTTCATCCACAGAGCTGTGCAAGACAGTGACGCTCTGGGACTAATCACATATTCAGCAGTCATGATTTTTGCATTACACAAGAAAATCTGCGAGCCACCAGCACAGTGCATCTCTATGGAGCAACAGGTCTGCTTGTGCATTATTCACAGCATGATGGCCTTGCAGAGGTAACTGCTGTGGATGCTCCAAAACCTCACTGTCTTGCAGATGAGTGGGGAGAATATAGGTCATACATACACTAAGAACATGCATTTTATATATTGTGTATGCATTCGTTCAGTATGGAAGGTACGGGATGTTTTTATAGAAATTAGGACACATTTATCATACTTTTAAGATCCAGTGTTATTTAAAATTTTTCTTTAGTCCATATATATCTCTGTTATAAAGTTGTTTCCTCATCACAAACAATCCTGGAGCTTTCTTTGTTTCATTCATACATGTCATGTGGTACTACAAGAAGTGATCCACTGTGTTTTTAATTGTCACTTTCACAAGAATCATTTCCTTGAATTCAGCCCTGGAATTGCCAATCTATACTGAACAAAAGGTCAAATTTAGAATTAGAATTTTGAGTTTAAGGAATGTAAACAGACTAATAATGCAAGATTACTCAAACATGTGTGAATCAAACAAAACATATCTTCAGGTATGTTTTTGATGAGGTCACATTATACCATTACTTAAAGCTCACAGAGGCAATTTTGCATAATATGGGTTCTTTCATTCTTCAATGTTTAGGCCACCTTCTTTATTCAAACTCAAACCTCTACACCACAAAGTGACATCCATGGGTAGTACATCAGTCTGATCATTTCACTGCTCAAGTTCCTTCCATTAAACTACACTAAAGCAGCCTGTTTTAAGCCTCATTTACCTGCTTCACTCCTTCTTCGGATATCAGTGCTAAATTACTGTGTGTTATAGACCGCACTGACATGTCACAGTTAGCTAAACTTTGGATCTGATTATTATCTGATTTCAGGAGTTATCGGATTGTTGAAATGTCATGTGAACAACTATATCTGATGTGAGTAGTCAGATTTCTTCCTGACTGTTCACACCTGTGCAGGTTTAGACAAGGAAAATATGCCAAAAGAGATTGTTAGAGAGATATTTCAAAATGTATTGCACTTTAGTTACTCTTAAAATCCATTGATTAAAGGTCCTATATTACACAGAATGGATTGTTGTGAGCTTTAAGAGGTCGTATAATATTGTTACCTCCTCAAAAACAATCATGGAGTTATGTTTGTTTAATCCACACATGTTCGAATAACCCTTTATTATTAGTCTGTCTACATCTCCAAACCTTGTGTTGCCTTGCCACATATGGTTTTCAAGTTAACACTTACAGTACCTTTTGTTCAGTAGAAATGAGCAATTCCAGGGCTGAAATTATTATGAAATTATTCTAGTGAAGGTATGGAGTTTTAAAACACAGTGGACCACTTCTTGTATTACCACATCACAAGACGAAGAAATCAGAAGGGTTTGTGAAACATTGATGAGAAAATGGCATAATGGGACCTTTAACTGAAACATATCACCGGATGACTTAGATCAGTTCTAGTTCTAGTTACCAGATTTTTACTGGCCATGTAAATTTTCCCGCTGATAGACTACACATGAGTCATTGTTTAAAATGCTAAAATGCTTAAAATGCTTCTAACACATAGCAAATACATTGTCCAATCAACATCACAGTCTGTCTAACCTTCTTGGAGCTGCAGTGCACTTTTACAGATACAGTTGAAAGGTGACCAAAAATAGAATGAGAGGCACAAATGGGACTTTTCACATCCCCACTGACAATGACAGCCCATTTACAGCCACACCGTATCGACCAGGCTCATAACGCTCTGCTGCAAGTGTGTCTTAAGTAACCAGCCCTGCAGCTTCAGTCACCTTATATCATTCCCAGGGGTCACTCTGCTGTCTGTGGTTACGTAACACTAAACTTAATGTGTTTAGGACACTGACTCGAATGGTGTGTCCATCTTCCTTATTGCATTTGAATCTTAAGATGTGGAAAGAAAATGGCATGTTGCAAACAATGTACTATTTTTTACTTACCTATAATTCAAAATGTAATTGACTCTATAACAAAAGAAGAATACTCAATATAATAATTTCAATGCTACATAGATACAAGATGTGAAAACAGCTCCATAAAGGCCAAACTCTGCTATATTTGAATAGAGAAGATCTGGAGTAATTGAATAAAATGCTATGTTTATTGATAATTACAAAATAATAATAATAATAATAATAATAATAATAATAATAGTAAGAGATAAAACATCGAAATTGTTGAAACCAATATTATACTGTATGTATTGAGAGATATGTATTGAATCAAGAGGAAACTCTATCATTGCAACCATATAATCCTACATATGATCAAATCTAAGAAGTGACTTTAGTTAGTTTTGCAGTCAAGTTCACACTTACTGTTAGCCTAAGATGCTTTCATACACATTTTTAGAGGTGTGTTTTATATTCCATTTGAGCTCATCATTTAAAAAAAAAAAGTTATTATTTATTTATTTATTTTTTTTTAGATATTTTTTAAAATAATTTCTATTCCCAGAAAGAGCACCAGAGTTTGTTTCCAGTATGTCATATAAAGCCCTTAGCCCCTCACCCTGGTGTAGAGCACTCCTCCTCCCCACTGTCAGGAGCTCACACTGGCCCAGTGCAGAAACCCCTCTACAGTGACAGAGCAGGGACATTGTCCCAGGCGTACACATGATCCTGGCCTCTCTGGGAGCTATGATGGAAATGCTTTGTGAAGGGAGATTAGCGCTAACTCTTGAATGTCAGAATCTTGTAGCAGAGTTTCTTTGACAAGAAGGCCTGGGAAGTTTTAGCCTGGCTCCCTGCCTGCTCCGCACTCCTCTGTTTGGACGTTTGGACTTGGACCACTGTAAATAAGACCACTCAAGGACAGTACTTATTTAATTAAAAGCTGATGATTTGCAAGATAAGTGCTACGTTAGAAGTAATGCTACGGATTAGCTACAGTATCCTATATAGAGCAATTTGTACTGCAAAAACCTGTGACATGCATGTTTGCCAAAGATGTGTCACAATATTAACAACCTTTTAAAAGGTTGTGCGTGCATATGATGGTGTATCATAAATGTAGGTTAAGTGCAGACTTAAACCACACAGTAACTTAATCAATCAGGTCACACCATGTTTTGAAAAGCAGTCTTTAAGATATTTGTGTTCTGCCAACTCCCTTCTACTTCAGTAGAGGGGGACACCAAAGCAAAGCTCTCCAAAACTCTCCAGCTGTCCCTAAGAAGAGTGTAACCCACCTTATTTGTTTAGAGTTGCCAGATTCAGTTCTTCCATCCTGCCACAGATTATAACTGGTGTCGGCAAAGAGGGCAGTGTGCTTTAGACTGATTCAGCTGAATCTTCTGGCTGCTGGAGCTTTGGGGGAATATGTGTCTAAATCTTGAAGATGTCCATATATTTTCTTTACAATACATTAAATATCCACATTTATGAAGGGGCCTTGCTGACTCAGCCTTTACACACATGAGCAGTTATTGTCTCCCATGAGACCTGGTGGTAAAATGTACTGATTAGATTTAAATGGTCACTCACCATGCGGGATGTGAAGTGGAAAAATGCAACTCAAGTCAAAAACAATGGATACAATATGTTTTCTGACTTGAGTCTTACATGTGAGACACTGAGCGTGGAGGCCAGTGAATTATATATAGTTACAGTTCCTTTGTGTAAAAATGATCAAGGTAGTATTCTCATGTTGAATTAGCAGTAACATACTGTATGCTGGATACCATTCAGTATTCTCTCTGTGCTCAAATCACTGTCATGAACTCACTTCTGAACATTAATTCACATTTGTATTCTGTCAGTCGCCACAGTGACTGTCTACTCTAGGATGGTATGGTGTTGTTTTCCCCAAGCCTCAAAGAGTGAATTTATTGCTTATCTTTCCAATGTAAACAAAGGCAGTTTTTACCATTTTACATAAATTTGGAATATGTTCTGCACCTTTCCCAAAAAAATTCAATCAAACAGCAGAGGTCACTGTTGTGCTTCAACAGCACTTTTAATAAAACAGACATTTCATCCTCACAACAGCAATGTCTGGACAGAGAGGGCAAGGGTGGGGGCAGGACCAGGGCCGGGAGCTCAATGCTGATAGGCTGGTGGCTCCTGGTACATGAAAGGCAATTGGTTAAGAAACAAAACTGTGTGGCAAGTGTGTGGCAGATGATGTATCGTGTTGACTCATTTGTTGGCACCTAAATGATGCAGCACAGGGAACCCAACTGGTAACCCACCCCCACCTTAACCCTCCACATATTTACAGGGAAAAGTAGTACATTCAGTTAATTCACTAAGTAACAAAGCTAAATTTCATCTGTGTTTTTGAGCAGAAATCACACGTTTTCACATCCAGTTTTCAGACATCTTTTGGTTCCATTCCTACGACAATCTGCTGTTAGATTTTCTATCAACGACACACAATAAATAACCCCGGCCCCTAAAACCCAACGTGCCCATATGTATAACTATTTACACAAGCAGCAACCTTGTCAAAACCCCGCCCATTTCATCAAGACCCTCCCACTTCAACCAAATAAATAAATAAATAAATAAATAATACGAATCATCCAAGTTCCCAGTCGCGTCAAGCTCTACCCACGTGTTACCCTCTTCTAAAAGAGCATGCCAAGTTACAATGAACACAGAAAATGTCTCTATACAGATAAAGAAAACACTTTAAAAATGTCAGTTTGGCTCCTCCCACTTTGGACAAGACAGGATTCCAGTGGATTTGGGGGGTTTCATTGGCTGTACCAGTGAAGTCCTCTCATAGGGAACTTTGAAGGCAGTTTCCCAAGGTCTCTGAAGGCAGCCATTTTGGAAGTTTTAAGGTGAAGGTCAAAGGTTAGTGTTTGGTCAGTCAGAGGTGGCGAGGGCTGGGGTGACCATTGTGGTAGAGCTTCTGTTTGATGTGTACCATGTTTCCGCTGGAGTCGTCCAACTGCCGGAGCTGGGCCCGTCTGCGCAGGTCTCGCAGGTTACAGAACTGAGGAAGCCACGACCAGGAGGGAGTGTCTGCAAAGAGGAAGTCAAAGGTCACATAAGTAATAACACAGTATATCTATAGTTAAAGATGGGCTATTGGTTACTGGTGAGAATTGAGGGTTTCCATGGGTATCGGTGTTGGTCTGACAGAGGTGGGACCAAGTCGTTGTTTTGCAAGTCTCAAGACCTCAAGTCCAAGTCAAGTCCCAAGTCGAGCCTCGAGTCATTGAAAGTCCAAGTCAAGTCCAAGTCATCTGCTTTGAGCTTCAAGTCCTTTCAAGTTTTTAAACCAAAATATCAAATCTAGCTTAGATTTTTGCAAATTTATATGACTTTTAAGCTAAGTCGTGTAGTTTTTTTTGTTTTTTTTTTAAATCAAAATCAAAATTTTAGTACTGTGTCTAACAGGATTTTTTTTTACACAAACCTGTACTTGTTGTTATCAAGGTCATGGTGAGGACAATAGTAAGTATTTAAGCCCCACAAATGACAAAAAACTGTAACTGTAAAAATATTTGTACACAGGAAGAAGATACTTAGAATTTATAACAAAAATAATAAATCATCAGCTTCTACATTGATTTTAAGGCAAGCATAGCAAACCGCAGGATAAACACAATTCCACACAGTTTACAAAGTGTACCAGACATAGTACACCCAAACACTGATCGAAGCACCCAGCACAAACCTGCACAGAAATCTGCATTATGTTGAATGTCACTATATATTTTTCCATATATATAACTGAAAATATTGTTTGAAATGGTCTTAGACGGCAGCAATATGGTTCCCTTCACACAACAGCCAGTCGGTGTATATTAAGTAGTGCTGCAGGAGGTAGAGAGGTGATGAGCACGCTTCCTGACAGAGCGAGCCAAAGGGAGGCGTGAGCTTGGAGGAGCCCTGGCGCTCTTCTTCTGCCCTGACAGCACATGGTCTGGAGCAGTGAGAGAGGGAAGACTTAGATTGTGCCTAACATCACATACACTGATGTGGAAATCAGAAAAAGACTTATACTTTATAACTGAAATTTTCAACTCTAAATAAATACTACTGTTGCTCTATTACAATATATTATTATAGTATACTACTCCTGAAAACGTAATAGTTGGCCATACCGGCTTGTCAAAGCCTGATCTCATCAGATCTCAGAAGCTCAGCAGGGCCTGGCTAGTACTTGGATGGGAGACCACTGGGAAATCAGGTGCCACAAGGGGGTGCCAGTTGTAAAAACTGTTGTTGTGTCCTTAGGCAAGGCACTACACCCTCATTACCTTATATGAAAGTGGTGCGTGAGTGGTCAGAGGGGCCGACAGCGCAGATTGGCAGCCTTGCTTCCGTCAGTCTGCCCCAGGGCAGCGGCAGCTGTGGCTACAATAGTAGCTTACCACCACTGGGTCTGGAGTGAATGAATAATGCTCTGTAAAGTGTCTTTGAGTGTCCAAAAAAGTACTATATAAAACTGATGCATTATTAGTTGCCACTATTATATCCTCTATCACAATTGCACAGTTTATGCTAGTTCAACATCTACTGTTGCCTGACCTGAGTTTGGTGCTTTGACTGGTGATTCTGTGAAATTCATGCTGTTTCTCAGTCCTTCGTGTTGTTTTCACTCCCTTTTCACGTGCAAACTGCCATGAATTTTTTGGACAAGAACTAAGCATGCATCTCTCTGATTGGTTAATCTGACCATCAATTACATTCTCAAATCAGGGAGACATAATCGGCTCCACATCCACTCGTCTTTGTAAAGTTTTATCAAAGCGTGTGGCTTTGATTGGCCAGGTAACAACTACTCCTACATCACCTTAGGGAGCTGGCATTGAACCATCATCCTGTGGGCCAGTAGAGCTCACTGCTACCATCAATGTTTAGGGGAGCTTACCATCGGATCAGAGGACAGAGTCTATGCTAGAAGTTCAGGAAAAGCACAATTTAATTCTACCGCTTAGTAAATGACAAATGATTGTTCTTATTCACGGCAAAGCTGTAATAACCACCCCAGAAAATGTAATTATTTTTCAATATTTGTGTAATGCTGGGAAGCATGAGTTGCAAAAGACGGTGATACACCGATATGAGGCCAGTTATTTCTGTCCCAAGTGTTCAGAGTACCACACAGAACACACTCTGGCCACTTGTGGTTTACATCATTTATGTGCTGTAGTCTCTTCTCAAAAGATGAGCTGCTGTGTCTTTCTGGTTTAAGTACGAGCTTAAAAAAATAACAATATTACAAAGTGTGTGCTTGTATTGTGTTACACCTTCCACTACAATTAATAGCAGTACTAAACCTGGATCAGAGCACTGACATATTGTACTGATTATTAAGTCTGTGTACTGTACAAATTAAAAATAGACAGCATGTAATTATTTGTAACAAAGACTGAAAAGATGTTGGATGCTGTGAAAGTTGTCTGTGCACATGTATGACAGGTGTTGCTTAACTTAAAATCCAAAATACTTACTTTCCAAGTTTATGTAAAATTAACCTTATTGTTCAAAGGTGTTAAACCCAAAAGTAAGCCAAATACATCTGCAATTCAACTATTTGATGAGCCCTGGTTAAATCAAACATGATTAGGGAATAGTATTTGACAAATTTCCACAGTGCCGTATAGGAAAACTCAATGGAGGCATACTATTCCATATTTCCTATTTACATTCTGAAACTGCTTATCCATCTTAACTCTCTTTTGCCCTGTCTTCTCACCTGCCCCAGTCTCTCTCTGTATCCACCCACACTACTGCCCCATGTTACGGATGACCTGCTGCGAATCACATGTGAAGGTGTGAGTTTGTGACATCTGCCCTCACCACAGCCCAAAGTGGAGCTAGTGAGGAAGAGGAGCGGGACAGCCCTAGACAGAGCAGGAGGGTAAAAAAACAGAGCCCCCCCTAGAGGATGGAGGGGGCGGAGCTGTGGAGGTAGAGTTATTTATATCCGTGAATGGGCACGCTGTCCACAGAGCGCTCTGAAGGGTATCCAAAGAAAAAAGGCCAGACACATTTGAATAAACCAGATGGAGAAAAGGACAATGGCAGGGGGTTTATGGGGGAATGATATCAAAGAGTGGAATAACACATCAACTAATTAAGTGCAAATCTTTTTTACAGAAAGCATTTGGGGACGGTAATATATCAATTCATCTAAATTTTACACTTCAAATTGTAAATAAAGGTACAGGATATATTATCAAGTCCCATGTTTTCTAGGGAACGCCATTTGTACTTTGCACAGACATCACACGGGGGATGTTCTACATGTGTCTATATTGGTGGAATGTTCAACAGTTACCATGGAAACACGATACACAAACTGTAAAAGCTGCCAAAATGTTTTAAGTCTGAAAATACAAAATTGATTTAAACCAGTGTTTCCCAAACTTTTTTCTGGAGTTCCATATTTTAAAAGTCACAAGCCTCCGTGTCCCTAGTCAATAGACATTATTCATAAATCACAAAATAAAGGTGGATTTGGCCATTATTGAACATTAATGAGGATATTTTATTGTTGACTGATTGTTTGAGTGATTGTGTCTCTCTGAACAATTAATATTACTCAAGTTTTAAACAATGAAAAACAGTCATAGAATCAGCAATAAAGGGATCCATAAGTCGCCTATTTGGACATTAAATGTAACCCATTGCTTTTTCTTTTCAACATTCAATAGAACCAGCAATATTGGAACAAAATAGTCAATAAAATAATTACAAAAATATAAAAAATTATAGAAAACATGTCTTAACATTTAAATATTTCTAATGAGATAGCTGGGCCTGTCTGTGTTTTTGTAGTGTGTTCCAGTCCGGGTGCAGGAAGAGAGCGCAGCACACAGATCAGGTGCAGCATTCAATCTGTTTCTGTGCTTTATCTTCATTTTTGTGAGCACAGAAAATACCAATTCACACATATATGTAGTAGTGAAAGGAATAAGCACAGAAACACTGGCCCTACTGAGGACAGGATATTCTGAAGATATGCTGATCCAGAATGATGATAAGGTCACAGATCCATGTATACAACTGTATATTGCAGATCTACATGCAGATCGTGACAAGGCGACCCCAAAAAAATCTCTGGTGATCCACTTGAGGGTCACAACTCAGTCTTTGGGAAAAGGTGATTTAAACAACACATTTTCAGAAACCTGTGATCAACAAAAGGAGTCCTGTTTAGGTGTTTAATTTTCAACCAAAAAGATGAGAGTGACTGAAAAACTGTTGTTATTTAAGATCACAAATCAGCTTGCCTGTTGTAAGTCATCTCTTTCCTCTCAAATTATGTTAAAATAAACCTCAGATTAATTCTACGTCTAGATTAAGTCTCTTGAGTAACAGAGCTTTAGACAGAGCAGTGCTTTCAGTTAGCTTCAAACCTCCAGGAAATGTTGATGACATCGACTGCAAAGGATCAATAGTAATTTCAGACACAGAAGTATTTAACCAAGCCAAACCAAAAACTATAGTTATAAATTATAATTTCTATATATAGGTTTTAAATGTGGCCCTTTAGATTTTTTTGTTTCACATATGGGCATTGACCTCACTAATCAGCCACTGTGTTTTTCATGTTATTGAAATATTTAATCTACTGCCTTTTTGTATTTAGGGTTTCCACAGTGAATAGGCTATAATAGGGCTAGGGATAGAATTGTGATCTGATTCTTCTTACAATCTACATTTGAGGTGATATTGTTCATTATTTTTCAGTGTAACGCTGCTCTATGATCACTGCCCGTCACCCACTTCTCCGATTGGTCAGCCTCCATCATTCTCTGAGTGAGTGAGAAGATTCCACCAGTTACAGCGAAGTGTGAGCCTTCAGAAGAAAAAAAATGAGTTGACTGACTTCTTAAAGGCAATATAAAAATACAAAGTGTACATGAATCAAGAACAAGCAACAAGAAAATCATCATATAGATTTTATGGCATATTGTCCCCCCCTAAGTAAATTACTAAAGTAGGCAATAACAATGAAGTGCCTCATTTCTCAAATATTATTAACTGCTTAAAACTCTTTAAAA